CTTCTTTTGGGCATTCTTTTTCTATTAGAAAAATAGAAACTCTCTCTAAGAGTAATATTGTTTGGGTTGACAGACTTCTGGTGCCCATTTTTTGATAGTTGGGGTAGTAAATGAGCATGCTTGAAGAAATTAAATATCTTTTGAGTCCCCTCTGCCTCTATGTGGTTGGAACTCAAGAGTACAGATTATCTAAATTGCATGGAAATTTTGAGCTTATTCTTTTGCTTCATTCCAGTTTTGTGTAAGGAACCATCAAGATTGATTTACTTGCTACAAATCAACGCAGTGCAGGTTCATGTTAATTCAAGTAATCTTTTAGTCTTCTCCCTCCTATCCCCCCAGAAAGAACTGCAGAAACCTCAAGTACTCTCTTTTTCCTCTTAGCAAAATAGTTGTTCTGTCCTCCATGAAGCAGAAAGACAGTTTCCCAGTTTTTCTGAGGTCTTTGTCTGAAAATTCAAGTCCTTAAGAGCTATGCAGCAAAGCCTTGTATGCATTAGTGAGCCTGAAGACCCTGACCAGCCTTTTCAGGGACCTTCACCGCAGCCTGCCCAGGAGATCTATTTCACCTGCACCCGAGTCCTCAGTCCCTGCTTGAGCTACGTCACAGATGTCCTGGTGTTCATCTACTGTTGATTCAATTTTCCTGCCATGAGCTTGAACCTGCTTTATCACCATGGTTCCACTGAGTGGTCACTGAACTCTGCCTGACTTATGGTTACCTTCACCAGACCAGATCCAGACTCAAAAGGGGAATTAGCTTCCTGATTTGACCTCAGATTTGTGTCATCACCATTAACTTGGCTGATGATCTGGACTGTTGGTTGAAACCTGTCATGTTAAGATCTGCCTTACTTAGGATCTGCATGACTGGGCCCTGGCTGGCAAGGAGCCTGTCCTGCTGGCCATATTGTCATGCTTGACTCCCTGTTCCTCAAGTAGCAGCCAGACTTCAGTGGTCCCTGACACTGTGCTTGGTTTGAATCTTTTCTGTTGTAGCTTAAGATAGCTCATTTTCCTGACTTAGGATATTTCTGCTAGCAGATTTGGCCCCCAGAGCAGTTTAGGAATTATCAGCATAGGCATTGGTTTTGTACAGCAGTATTGGTGTGATCCTTGTTTTGCAGAGACAGAAGCCCGGGGCTATGTTCAGAAACTCAGAACCTTTTTTTTCTCCTCTGTATTTGTTTAGGTCCTGATCTCAGCTTTTTTGTTGAGCAGTATTTGTAAATCAGCTTATTGGCACATTGGCCAAGGCTGTAGAATGCACTTTACCTCTCTATAGCCTCTGTACCAGCCTTTCTGTCCCTTTTCAGAAATTCTTCTCTCCAGGTATTGCTTTAGCAGAAAGCCAACATATCCTGTTGTTAGGAGGTACTAAGAGGTCCTGTTTATGTTTGTCTGTATTCAGAGATCCTGCTGCACCTATTTCCTTGTGCAGGGACTTCATGAATTAAGTCAGACATGCAGAAAAAATCAAATTTAGAAGAATGATAGTAGTAAATTGCAGGTGGTTCAGGAAGGAAGCTGGTTTGTATCATGTAACTTTCTCCATTTCCTTTCTATCCTGCAGTGTGACCGTGTTCACAGGGGTCTTAGGATGAGGAAAGAGATGACGATCTGACTCCATGTTTCAGAAGGCTTGATTTATTATTTTATGATATATATTATATTAAAACTATACAAAAAGAATAGAAGAAAGAATTTCATCAGAAGGTTAGCTAAGAATAGAATAGGAAAGAATGATAACAAAGGCTGTCCAAGCCAGCTGGGCTGTGATTGGCCATTAATTAGAAACAACCAACATGGGCCAATCAAAGATCCACCTGTTCCATTCCACAGCAGCAGATAATCATTGTTTACATTTTGTTCCTGAGGCCTCTCAGCTTCTCAGGAGGAAAAATGGTAAGGAAAGGATTTTTTATAAAAGATGTCTGTGACACTGCAGTTGGACTGGAATGCCATTTCTTGCTGATTCGCCGCTGGCTGAGATCAGCTTCATGGACTTTCAGCCACACTGTGTATTGTCCTCTGTGGATTGGATAGAATGCTAACAACAATTTCAGACCATTTTCATAATGGAGGGGTGCGCAGTGTCACCTGGCTAAATGAGTTATATTAGTTTTCTGACCTAACCCTCCAAGTAATGATCCATTTGGTAACATTTTCAGAGTAAGCATACTTTGTGAATATGGCAAATTTTCCTCCAAACAGGTTGATGTCACTGAGGTTCTGTTGAACATATATCACAGCCTTCATGTCTCTTTCACATCTGTCCACATGGAGACATGTTCTCTTCATGACAATCTTCAGCAGAGTTTATAAACCTGTTATGAGGTGTTCTCTATGTCATCGCATGTCCGGATTATCTCCCCGAAAGGTTTTGTGGTGGTCTCTGCCCGCCCAGGGAACGCCAAATGTCCGGTTTATCTCGGCTGTTTGAGGGGCCTGGAAGGCCCGGGGGTGGCCTTGGGGCAGCCCGCGTGTCGAAGGACGAGAAGAGGCTTCAGTTCTTCTTTCTGGTTTTATGTTTATTAATTGTTTATCTAAAAGATGTTCTTTCAGCCTGACAGAGATCCGCTCAGCAGTCAGCCATGGGCACACTGTCTCTGCCCTCCCGGGCAGCCACGTATCTTTATACCCATTGTGACGTATATAATATTTATCATTTTTCTCCAATACCATCTACTCTTATAACTCGATGTACTCTCAGCAATAACCAATCTAAAGGTGCCACCGTGGCCAAAGAAGATGGAAGAGAGGAGGAAGAAGAAGGAGGGCAGGACACACCCCAATTCCTCCATCTTACTCCTCTAAACCCCCCTGTACATAAATCTTAAACTTTGTGTCTTACCCTCTAATTAACTAATCTCTTCACCATTCACCCTGTGAAGCCCTCATCCTTGTCGTCTCTTGTGTAGGGTCAAAGTCCTGCCACCAGACACTTCTGGCAACATTCCAGGAGTCCCGAGCCCCCCCAAGGGTCTCGGTGGCTCAGCATCTCAGGACTGAGTTCTTGAGATCCGACAATCGCATGGGCTGCCTCACTCTTGGCGAAGCACACAGTTCTAAAATATTTTTGTCCTGTGGTTGTCCAATCAGAACAATGTTAGAAAAGAGGTGCCTTTTCATTCCACTCTGCTAAAAAATGGACAGTGAAGTGCTTGTTCAAGCAGACTAGTCAGTGTTCTTCAAAATTAAATGCTGCTATCAGTATTTTAAACCTAATGATCTGGATGTATAGAAGGCCTTTCAGTCAAACTTTGGATAATCATGTGTGTGCACACTACTTGAGCATCAAGCCCTAAATAAATTAATTGTCATTTCTGAGAAACAATAAAACTGAAATATATTCTGAATTATCATTAAAAGTAAAAGTTTTTACTTTTTCTGAGTTTGGTAATGTATTCGAAGCACAGCATTACTGTGGTATACTTTTGTTTTCTACACCCACTTGCTTTCAATCTAATAAGGACAATATCATTTGAGGGAATCAAATAAGTGGACTGTTTCCTTGTTCCTCCATAGACAGGGCAGAAATATCGTGAAGTTTTGAAATTATAGGAGGTGGAACTAATGTTGTGTTCATTTTTAGGTGTGTTTTGTGGTTCTTACACTGCAGACTCAGGCAGTCTTTTCATGTCAATTAAACTCAGATTATATTCTCTAGTTTTCAGGTAAGGAGTAAAATTCTGTGCATGTGATTTTTTTGTAGGTTTAAGACTTAAAATTAGAAATCCAGTGATAGATTTGCTGTTTACTCATTATTCAAAGAGGAAAGACACTAACAAAGGCATATATGCATAACTCTCTTGACATTCTTAGAAATGCAAGGAAGTAACATGAATACATCTGTTTGGAACTTGGAAGAAATTCAGATGTGGATGCAAAGCCTGCAGTCCAATCGCTAATGCTGTAAAACTGGAATGGCATATTATGGAATTACCTCTTCTACTTAGATCTAAGTCTATTTAAAAGTGATTTGTAAATGCCTAAAAAATATTTAGAAACTTTGAGGGAAAAGGAAGGTACGAAGTACTTAAAATTTGCAGAGGTCAGAAAGATTTCACACATAAAAGTACATTTCAATCAATTTCTTTTGTATTCATCTTTCAGAGCTTCCCTTTCAAACTACTCTGACTTTCCCATTGACACTTTCCAGATTAACTTTTCTGCTAGTGTTACATCTGCAACAGAACTGCGTAGGACTATGGTATCAGCTCACCATCATTTGCATAGAAGAGCAAACTTGTTACACTTATAGACATTATAAAATTAAAGTACTTAAACCCATGTGGTTTGGTAATACTGCATTGGAAACGTCTCGGAATCATTTATAGTTTGACTGTGCTGAAATCAGAGTTCCCTAGTTGATGTGACATGATTATATGTTATGAGTGCATGTGTTAACCTTTCAAAATAAAATGTTCGGTTTCTTCTTTTAAATACTAAATGCTCATAGTGATAATACTTGCTGATATTTGCTCACTGACAGTCTCACTTGTTTTCAAACCCCACATATTTAAAGTTGTGGAGTGTTAGATTGATGTTTCTTTCACTCAAATGTCATATTCATCAACTGTATTGTGCTAGCAGATTGTTAAACAGACAAGGTGACTTGCAGAGTGACAAGTGATGTGATGTCCCAAACCATTAAAATACAGTAATGATGTGTTTTTTTGCCTTTCGGCTTTTGCAACACAGTGGGTTTTCTGTAAAACACAGGTGAGAACATTCCTGAGTAAATCCATTGCATGGAAAAATTCCTAGTTAATGAGTAACAAAACCTGGAAGTCAATTGGAGTCTCACAGATGATTTAGAAATTCTGAAGACTTAGGAAAAAATAATGTAACAGTATTTTATAATGAGAAAATATACATTATGTTATAAGGAAAGTTAAATTGCTTGATGTATTACACTGTCTTACATAATCAGTTTTGCAGTATTGTTTGTTTTTTTCTGCTATAATAAAAGCTATTTTATAATTTTACTTGAATAGCCTCCCAGGAATACCAGAGGAAAGGACGGAACTTCTGCTTAACCTTATATCAACTCAAATGTCTTTCTCAACTTATCAAACTCTTCTTATTAATGGAGGAAAAAATTGAAGAGCTCTCTACAGAATTTCTGCTGCTGCCTTCATTTACAGAGAGGAATAAGAATGTTCAAGGTAATGAATGATTGTCCTGAGTTATTGGTTTATTTTGTGCAAAATAATTTTATGCTATTTTCAACATTAATTACCTAATTTGTGTCATCATATTTTTCAAATAAATGTGTTTCCATATCCACTGAAAAAGCTTTTGAAATGTGCAGATTTACATTTGAGCACGATGACTTGTAGAAAAGAACTGACTGCTGTGTATAAAGATGTGATGTACTAACTGTAGATATTGATGGAGAGCCATGATGAAAAACTGTCAAACACTGCAACAAGATATCTCCTACTGGATTCTCTGTAAAATCCTGTGTCTCATATAGGACACAACAATACTCAGAGTCTGAATTCTTTGAAACTGACTTTTTCTGAACTTGTCCTTGAAAACTGCCTTTTTCAAGAGAGAAAAGCAAATACGTTAATATCAGTTTAGTTGATCTTACTGTACGTGAAACTAACTGCTAAAGGATATAGTCCATGTTTAACCTGTATTTCTCACACTTACTCATATTAACTATGTTTACTAGCATGCTTATCTCACTGGCTTCAGTGGCTATGTTACAGAAGGAGGTTCTACATCAGTAAAATGATCCAGCTTCAAGTTTGCATTTGCTATAGGTTCGAAGCTCACTTTTTTTTCATCTAATTGTATTCAGTAGAACCAGGTATCGTGAAAATTCAGGTGAATAACACTTTCCAGGAGTATTCTCACAAATGTTCTACTCTGCTGCTTCTGCCAGTGGAGACTCCAAGCCATGAGAGAGAAGTGGTTTCAAGAGCTTTGACTTAATTGCAGAAAAATATCAGACCAGAAATGAGGCCAGGCTGCTCAGGGAGAGAGGATGGGTGAAATCAAATGTTCACTATCTCTGTAGTCAAGCTGCAGGCTGAGGAGAAGGGTGTTTTGGGAATGATGTAGTCTCAGAATACTACATTGACGAAAATAAAAATATTAAATAACATGAGTTCTAAGGCACACAGTTTGTTGTTGTATTCTTCACCTGTAATATTGACACTCCAAAATAAAGAAATACAGGTTAACCTATATATTTTTAGAATATATGTCAAAGCTCTAATAAAATACGCATTCAAATTCCATTTTTGCTGACTTCAATGACTTCAGTGACTTCAATGTATTTCTGCCTCCTTCACTCAGTTTTATTAATTCTCAAGAAATGTTACTCTATTATACATTATAATTTATGTTTTATGGACTTGATTCTACAAAGAGGTCTTAAAATAAACTTGTAGACTTTTCCTCATGTGTTGAGCAGGGTATGCACTCAGTAAGGACAATGGTAAATGTACTTTTTATTACTGTATTATGTGAGAGAATGTAAAAAAAATCAAGACATCTCAAATGGGAAATTTATTTGATATTTATATGATTATATTCTAAGGCATGTGGTCTCCAGTCATTCAGAGGACTTAACTTAATTCAGAGGCATTAGCCCAGACTGAATGGAGTGCTGATGGTGCTAGAAAGTTACCCATACTCTCAATGGGTTCAGGCTAGGTTGGGTATATCCAACCTACCCCTCAGTGTCTGCAGTGAGGGATATCTGAAGTGTCAGTGCTCTGCAAGTAGTACTGCTGGCAAACTGAGGAAAGATGGCCAATTCATAAAAGGTTGGTGAATGTCCAAGTCACCGAAAGTTTCCCTAGGCAATGCATAGACAGAAACATTGTACTTGTTTCCTTTATGCTTTGGTTGCTTTTAGTATTCATGAGAGACAATCTGTGTAGCTCACACAGAGGTGCAACAAAAGTAATGGTTTTTTCTTGTGCTGGTGTCAAGTGGTGTATTTATGTGAATAGCTGTTTCAATGTCAATTGATTTTTTGTTTTATATTCTGTAGTACTTCAATTTTGATATTTAGAACATGTATAAAGTTCCATCAGAAACAAAGTAGTTCTTTGGATGGTTCCTCTTTATAAAAATTTTTTTGTCCCAAAGATGGCATCTGAGTTTTATCTAAACCAGACGGTTTCTTGGCCCTCATTTTTCCCTAAACCCAGCAATGACAAAGAGCAACGGCTGCATAAATTGGATGTAAGAAGAACACTTAGGGTTTATCACAGAAGAATCAAAGATTTCATATCTTCTGACAGATTGTTTGTTCTCTTAGGGGGTCTTAAGAGGGGTCAAATGGCTTCTAAGAGTTGCTTAGCTAGATGGTTAAGGGATTGTATTAGAGAGGCGTATGTAGTTAAGGGTAAAGAGGCTCCCAGGGTTTGTAAAGCTCATTACACTAGGACTATAGCTGCTTCTTGGGCGGAGAGGTCGAAGGCTTCCACATTGGAAATTTGCAAGGTGGCCACCTGGGCTTCTCTTCTTACTTTTTCATTGCATTATTGCTTGGATGTAGTCTCTTCTGCAGATTCTGCTTTTGGTAGGAGGTTGCTTGTGAACCAAAAAAAGAACAGTGAAGAAAAGAAAGACATGTAGTTCAGAGTTCTAGCTGGCAACAAGACAAGTTTCTTTGCAGCGTGCACAATGGAATCCTATGAAGACCAATTTAGGCCGTTGAAAATAGATGTTAGAGGGAAGTACTGCCTACCAGTGTTCTCTGATGGTAACCCCATGGCAGACAATAGCACCAAAGGAAACAGTGAACCAGAGTGAACTCTGTAGGGAGATGGATGTAGAGAGTTTTTAGGTGATACATATAGGTCTCTGAGTTCAGTTTGAGTTCTTTATCTGGCATCTTCTGGAATATATTCAGAATCCTCATTTTCACAAATTACTTTGCATAGATTGGAGAAAAGAATTCCCTGAATTGCATTTTCCACTCTAACTTCTTTTCACTGTTCTTTACAATTCTTCATGATTTTATTTTTTGACTTTACCAGCAATAACTTAGTGTTCCTTAATATGTATGCATCAAGATTTGAGCTTGATTTAAAACTGTATTTGTGTTATCTAAGCATAGGTTTTTTAAAAGATAGTGTAAATACACATTTTATCTACTACCCATATGTTCTTCAAGTTTTCCTTTAAATCAAAATAAGGACAAAATCATGCAAAGTTCTTGGACAAACAAGTGATGGTATGGTTTTGTTCCATCCCTTAACAGTAGTGTGACATCTGGGCAAGACTGCTACTCTGCCTTTCAGAGAATAGGTATCTGTGTTTTTTCTATAGCTTACAGGACATTAATTCACAATGATGCATAACTTCATTCCGCTACAGGCATTGGATTTCATAAAATTATAGGAATAACCATCCCCAGTTTTTTCTGGACTATTTAACCCTTTCATCTGCTGGTATCTTGTCATACCTACTGTGATGAGATAGTCTACTTCAGTTGAGTAGTTTACATTCAGTTGAAATTAATGAGAAGTTCTAACATACCTAGTACTTCCAGCATCACAGCTTCTCTTTGAAGCAATCAGGAACATGATTGTCTACAATCAAGTGTTAAACAAGAGACTTGGGTTTTGAACTCTGACAAATAGCATTCTCTTTTCTTCTTAAAGTTAGATTTTTCTTTCCTCTTGGGTTTTCAGGAGCCTCTTGTTAAGACTTCCAAAAAATCAAAAATATCTAATGTGCTTTCATCTGTCTCACTTTTTTTTCCCCATTTCAGTGAGAAAGGTGAACTTGGAACAGATCAGATAATGAATACCAAGAATACTTTCTCCAATGGAGTGCTTGAAAACACTGTGGGTGAAGTTGTCAAGTCCTTAGGTTTACAAGCTCTGTTGCAGGAGACTGGGAAGATTTGCAAAGGTCCTTCCTACACACTTTAAAGAAAAATGCTTAACTCTATATCATTTCTGGAAAGTGTAATAAAAGGAATGTAGAATAAAATTTTTGAGGTACATCCTCCTAACACACTTTTATTGCAAAGTTGCAGTATTGCAAACTTTGCAATTGTAGATTAAAAAAAGTTGTGATTTTTGCTTTGGTCTCAACATAAGACGTTCAAGTATCTTCTTTTACAAATACACAGCTTCAATCAATCCACGGTGATGATGAATTTAAACTAGGAGGACAGTATGATTTCAGAGGTACATTTTCTTCATCTGGGTTAGTACAGTTTGCTCAGTATAGTACAACAAGTAAAAAGTTCATTATTGAAGATAGATAGCAGAAGATGTTTTTGACCCATAGTTAGTCAGGGATTTTTTAATTGTTATTTATATTTCTGGAGGAATGGTTCTTTTTACTTCTGCAAGATGTATTATACTGAACTGGCTGAATCCAATTTGTAAGCTACTTTACTAGCACTGATACTTAGCTTATACACAGATAGTGAGTAGCTCATACAAAAGCTTGCCTTGATACTTTGCTGTTCTCTGCTGCATGCAAGACAGTTTCACAATGACTGTTCTTATAGCCCTAAATGCTATAAAAATAGGAAAGTTGTGGAATTCTATAGAAAAAAAATTAATAGAACTTCTTATAAAAAGTAAAAATAATTATCTTTAAAATGCAAGAGGTGTCACTGTCATTCTTTGGTCTTTGTAACCACCATTACAAAACCAGAAAATTACTGAATTGGAGAAAGAAATAAATAGATAAAGGGGACAAACAATTATTTTGAAGAGAAGAGTAATCCCAGACAAATTTTAATACACACAAGGAAAGGTGGCTGACGCGTTTTGATTTTAAGTGTAGCACTGGATATTATAATCTTGTTCTCATTATGTACAATCAAAGTTATTAAAACTGCTTGGTTGATAAACTAAAGAAAATACAGAAATTATGAGCATTCCGTCAAGACTAGATGTTTGTAGAACATCGGTTTCAAGAAAGACAAAGCAAGGATTTGTGGTTAATCCAGTCTTCCCTAATAATCAAGAATGCTGAAGGTTTAGAATATGCTCTGGAAAAGAAGCAAATATGAGAAAATTATGTTTTTCTTCAGCCACAATCTTCTTTTACAACATTCACTTTTTTCAGCTCTCTTTCTGCAAATTTTTTTCTCTAAACAAGTGATCCCTCTCCCATGTGTGAGGAATTTAATTTAAAATTTATTTTAATTTAATTAAGAAATGTAAATTTA